CATACTGATCATCGTGCAACACGGGAACTGAAGTCTAACATGCTACATATAAAATATGTACACACTCAGATGATGCAAATCTCCAAGTTGTATCTTTATTCACTCCGGATACTGCCGGATAGGCCTCTGGTAAACGTACTGTTCAGGGATCTTTATTGTTCAGAGTAGCTATCAGTCGCTAGGGGTCGCCTCTGTACGATTGAGCACACATGCACTTGAGTGATAGACGATAGCAGTGGTTGCATATACATGTACTAACAAAATTGATTTGATTTTCAGGCTGAATAAAATGATACAGCGAAGACTGCCCAACTAGCCCTGGTAACTGGACAATACATTACAGATGAATGCTATCGTTAACTAATGTTAAAGATGCAGTGAAGTGTACGGCTGCTCTAAAATTCTGTCAATCAAACATTTACTAATGACCATGACTGCAAATGGGAAATGTACGCCTGTCTTGTCCCGTATAATAGTGTTCATAACAATCAACTTAAAACTGAGTTCTTGCTCCATGTATTCTGTTCCAAGGTTCTAGGACTCAGTTCAGCATACCAAGAAGTTACGTAACGTATGTTTCATAAATTATACAACGAAGAGAGAGCAGAGCTTTATAAACTATTGCAATGTATGTTTCCCCATTTCATACATCTTAGCAACGCAGATAAGTTCATATTTCTGATGATTTTAGACAAACCTTCGATTATAAAACATATCTGTATTTATATCTACATCATTACTAAGAAGCGAGAAGAAACCAAATTATCGTAATTATTAGACTATATGTCCATAGTACATAGAATTAGCACTAGCTTGTACATTGTATATATTCATTGCAAACTGTGACGTCTTTCCTGTGACCTGTACTGAACCCAGTGGGTATTTGCGTACAATAAAGGTCTTCATTCATTCATTCATTCATAAAGCATAAGGCACTGGCCTTTAAATTTTTACAGCGTATGGATTTCAGACAATTCTCCAGGGACACAAACTACAAAGCTTTTGTTCCATCGACACTGGGGTCACCGCTTCTCCAGGCAAGTAATTGGACCTGGCTAGACCTGGGGCGTTTAAACTAGTCTTTCCAGTGCGTCGCCGACCCTTCCCTATCATAGGTCATGGCTCACGCGTGCCGCCATAGGTAAGTCAGAGGTCTATCTGAAGAAGATTTCTGTACAAGTGGTGGCTAGGTACGACACGTACAAGGGGTCTTTGCATTCGTTGTAGGTACATATGTTTTATTTACTTCACTTACTTAAACCTTACTACCGAGTTTAGTGTAGTAAGGTTTCCAAGTTACATTCGTATTGATTCGCACGACGTTGTTTCGTCAGAAACAAGCTTAAGCATGTCGGAGGTATATGTCAGTCATTACGTATGACGTTGGGCTAGAGGGGTATAGTATTCATTTGCACAGATCTAGAGGTTATAACTAGCCTAGGGGACAGCAATAATCTTGTCTGATCAGCGCTTGTCAAGCCTACCTAGTACGTGTATGCAACCTAACTAGATTTTGCATGTTGTAAAGAATAGGAGTGGGGCAACTTCAAATTGCGTGCTGTCTGAGGTTGTTACTTATAAATGACTAGGTACCAATCGATGCGGAACAAAAACGACAACATGCGGCATGTACTGATTTATCAGGTTTTAAATGTTAAAGGTCGTGACGCTGCCCATAGCAGTTTGCATTTAATAGACCTTTGTATGTACGTATATACGTAAACCGGATCCACGAATCATGGCGCCGACCAAAAGGTTCGACTTTCGCTATCAGACACAGCTCCGCCATCTCCATGTGGTCTTTTCTAGACCTACAGAGAACAAGTGTCCAGTCTCTATGGTCCAGCTGCCACACGCTGTGAAGGCCAACCTTCCCCAGGTCACCTTACCCCGCCGGCTATCCACATCTTCATTCGGTAGGACACAAATAATCACACATGCACATTATATACCGGTCGTACCGAGATTGAAACATGCAAGAGGCAGAAGGTTACTTGCCAGGTACGATGTTATCAATACCTCCAGAATGTTTTCATGCACCACCGTTAACATTCCGGTCAGTCAGTCACTCACTCACTCACTAACTAATCCGAGAGCTGGCATGCCGTATTTTCCTTACAATTATATAATACTAACGTTTAACGTTGGTTTATCTGCACGAACTATATGTTGACATGTCAACACCTGACAGGCATACATAATGTGAAACCCATCCCAGCATGTGTTGTATGTGTGTGACAGGAACGATGAGGAGGTCTCGCCTGCGTATCATGCTGATCGCCCTGCTGTGGTTGGTGTTCCTCTCAGCGATCAATTGGGTCATCACTTCACACGTGATGAAAAAGAACCCCAGTTCAAGGTATTTAAAAGCCCTGTCGTACGACGGGTCTACAAAATATTGCAGGGGGAGTCAGAATGGAGCTTGTGACAGCATGAAAAGCATACATAGGTCGACGGCCTAATACTGCGCTATACCGTAATCCTCTGAAAGAAATTTGAAAAAAAAATCAAATGAACTTGAAGATACATTAATATTTCAACATGGACGCTCATCGTACATTATTACAATTGCTAATGCCAGATAAAACCTTTCACTCAGTGCTCACATTGTGAAAGGCGTGGGACCCCTTGCACCACATAAGATAGACCCAAATCAAGACAGCCAGCGACCTGATGAGGATGACAAAATACAGGATCAAGGGCAAGACGAAGAGGTACGTAAGTAATATCTAACGTTCTGAAGACCCCAATAATTAAATCTGCTGTCCAACAAACAACGTTAACAGAGTGTTTGTTAAACTGGTTGCGAGTCAACATATGTATGTCTATACTATGTCACAATTTATTGACAGTATTTACATAAGATTCATATTTACCCAACAACTTCCAGGTTTAAATATCCAACATGGCGGATAACTACTTACATCACAGTAAGTCACGTGAGTGCAAACACCCTCTGGTCCCTGATACTATCAAATTTGAGATATCTACTCTAGTGTTACTAACTGTTAGCACGTTTTGTATTGCCAAGCTGGACGACAGCTTCTTGAGTGAAGAAGACGATAACGTCGAAGATTCTGATCAGAAAGAACCGGAGAAACTTGAGATAGAGGACGACCAGGGCGACCAGGAGAAGATAGTACAGGATCAGTCGGAGGAGCGTGGCCGAGAAGAGTAAGAATTTGACTGTTTTGATTGGTGGAAGGGTACAGGTGCGGGATAATTGCACTCAGCTCCTGTGGCGCAATCGGTTAGCGCGTCGTACTTATACAGCAGTATAGGCGCTCTTGTTAAAGCGTGAGCAATGCGAAGGGCGTGGGTTCGATCCCCACCAGGAGCAAGGTTCTTTTTAAAAATAAAAAGCAGAAAAATAAATATTTAATATAACACTTCGGGCAAACAAGGGTAATAATTCTTGTACTTGCACAATAATCGTACAATAATTGCACGAAGACTTTGTATGTGTGTATTACTAAGTCTGTGATGCGTGAGAATTCTCCTATAACAGTCATGCATGCCAGCATATTTTACAGGTTAGCAGTGGAAGGAGGAGATTGTGAGCCCCAGACCAACTTTGTCTTCATCAAAGTCCACAAGGCTGGGTCGACCACCGCCATGGGCATCTTTCTCCGCTACGGCTACGAGCACAACCTGACGTTCGTCCTGCCCCGCAGAACGCCCTCCCTGGGCTGGCCGGCTCAGCTCAACGAGGACTTCTACATCCCCCTGAAGAACAACGCCTTCAACATCCTCACCCACCACACAGTCTATAACAGAGACTTAATTGGCAAAATAATGCCAAAGGACAGTTTCTACCTGGCAATTTTGCGCCACCCTATCAACATACTAAAATCGGTCTTCAATTGGTGTTCTTTAAGCCAACGCTTGTCCATAAAGGCGGATAACCCCGTGGCGTACTTTCTAGAAAATATTGACGAATACGCTAAACAGTTAGGGAAGATAGACTCTCCGGTAAGTCTTCGAAACTTCATGTCTTTTGAATTCGGCTACACGCCAACTCAAGCGCCACCTAGCGACGACGAGGTCCAAACATTTCTTGGGACTGTCCAAAAGGAGTTTAACCTGGTCATGATATTGGAACATCTCGACGAGTCTTTGGTTCTCCTGAGGAGGTTGATGTGTTGGGATATGAAGGACATACTTTATCTGACGAAAAATGCCGAATCTTACGACTACAGACGAGCTCAGATCTCTAGTGATGAGGTGCGAATGCACCGACAGATGAGCAAAATGGACTACGCCCTGTTTGAGCATTTTAACGCCACCTTGTGGCAAAAGATAGCACAGCAGGGGCCAGATTTTCGAGACGAGGTCGAGCACTTTAAGACGATAAATGAACAAGTTAAGACGTACTGTGTGTCTCGAGAGCTCACTGAAGCGCTCACGCTTAGCTCAACGAAATGGTATTCAGGGTTTTCTGTGGACAAGGAAGTTTGTAAAAACCTGTATAAGCCACAGAAGGCATATGACAGGGAGTTGAAAGCCAGGCAGGAACCTTTGGTTACCGACACTTACTGGGATACAAAAGATGAAGTTGAAGCTCGCTGGGTTAAGCCCAAATTGCCATGTTAGAACGTTGACTAATGTAATTGTCGTTCCACTATGATAGGCTATGATAGGCTATTCCATTTGTACTTATATCATACCATACTATGCTTCCGCTGGGGTTGATTCACCAACAATGCTTTTATTATTAGCATTATTATTGTATCTCGTATCAGATATAGTTCAATTACCATTACCATGATTGTATTTACAGATACCCTATACGTAATTATTAAACATTGCAAGAATGAATTTGTATCAATTTTGTTGACGTCACTTACTTCAACCATGGTACGGCCCACTCATAAGCCGTCATATCTCATTATCTGACTATACGATGGTAACTAGATAGACCCTATCATTATCGGCAATCGTAAGTTACACAAAGTCGGCCATTCAAGCAAACGAACTGCTCACTGTTTCAACCGAGTCGACACTATCACATAATTTGTTTCATAAAAACACAACCCTCATGCAGCAACGTAGGATGACGATTTTTGAACTCGAACTTAGTTTTATAACCGCTACTCAACAACCAAATATCATTCAGTTCCATTCACAGCTTCTCGAGTAATGTTGAAAACATGAATCAACAAATGAACTAAAATCCCGCTGCAGTACCGTTGGGAAAAGCCAGGTGGACCAATTTGAACTTGACCTACATTTCTACAACAGCTACATGTACCCACATGCGGAATATTAAAAAACATCCATCCACGTAGTACGAAGGCCCATAAGTACACTTAGTATTTTTTATTCCACTTTTATTTTCTATGGGTACTTTGTATTTTCCATGGGTACTTTGTATTTTCTATGGGTTACTTTTATTTTCTATGGGTACTTGTTTTTTTCTGTGTGTACTTTTATTTTCTATGGGTACTTTGTATTTTCTATGGGTTACTTTTATTTTCTATGGGTACTTTTATTTTCTATGGGTTACTTTTATTTTCTATGGGTACTTGTTTTTTTCTGTGTGTACTTTTATTTTCTATGGGTACTGCGAAGTTCTTCAGTGGCTGGCGAAGCGACATTCACTTTGTTTTTATGTGGATACTCCCATTTTTATTATGGGCGGCATATTTCTGTTTACCATTCTAGGCAACTAAATTCACTTTGAAGCCTGATCGGTAGACAGGTTTTTCCGCAAACCCCTACATTAACATAATCTATGCCAGGATGTAATAATCACTATTTAATACTCTTAATTAATAAACGTGTGGTTCATTGCATGCAAAACAAACTAATTTTTCTTAAGGTGTTACGTATATTATGTTTTAATAGCTTCAAAGTGAATTTAGTTGCCTAGAATGGTAAACAGAAATATGCCGCCCATAATAAAAATGGGAGTATCCACATAGAAGCAAAGTGAATGTCGCCAGCCACTGAAGAACTTCGCGAAGTACACAGAGACGTGTCTGTAGGTACATAGCGTCGGTGTTCATCCCTCCTGATTCTGTCATTAAAGAGATCGAAACCGCCTTGTTTCATTTCTTCTGGGATAAACGTCGGGAGATGGTAAGCCGGAACACAATCTACCTCCCCCCTGAGAAGGGCGGCTGGGGTCTGACAAACATAGCAAAAAAGGCGAAATGCCTGTACAGTCGCCCCTTCTCGGACATCTTGTCGCAGAGTAAAATGCCCTGGGTACAGTTGGCCAGGTACTGGCTTGGCTTCTTCTTAAGACGGTTTGACCCATCCACCTGGTCGAACAACATGCCCCATTCCCCGAACGCCCCTCCTCAATACAAGGCCCTCCAAACCTGTGTTTTGGAACTCGTAGAAGCATCTCCCTCTAAACAGTGGGACACTGGCTGTACTACGCGTTCCCTGTACAACGACCTTCTGATGAAGGATGCTCACGTGCCAACTGTCTGTCTAAACAAGCGCTCCGTTCCTTGGTCTTTAACCTTCCAATCAGTCCAACACCCCCTCCTGGAAAACAGACTTAAAGACACGGCGTGGCTGGTTGCCCACCATGCCCTTAAGACGAATGCTCTGCTGTACTCTAAGTGGAGGTTTATCCACTCGGGCACATGTCCGAGGAACAATTGCAATGGATTCGAAACAATGGACCACGTGATGTGGTCCTGTAACGAAGTGTTACTCACATGGACATGGGTGGAGGGCTTCATCAGGAGATGGATATTGTCAGACTTCCGGATCAATAAACATATGGTCATCTTCGGTATTGTGCCAACCTCCTGGCCAAAGTGTAAGAGAGATGTCATAATCTACGTCATCGCTATCGCGAGGAAACGGATTTGGTCCTCGAGATGTGAGGCACTCTTTGACAAAACGTTTATAACCCACGTTGAGATAGTGCCGTACATCAAGGAGTGCCTCCGCTCAAGACTGAAGCTAGACTTTGTACGCCTCGGTGAGGCAGCTTTCCTAGCACAGTGGTGCTCTTCAGTACGTTGGGCGAAGGTCGTAGGGGGAAAACTACGCCTGCGGTTTTAATCCCCCGTTCCCTTCTAGTCGTATCAGTTTTTTGTTGTGAAATGTCTGTCTTTTATGTCATTATTTTATTTTGATGTGTCAAGTTGGCAGGAGTGGGTTGTGGGAGCACTTGGACAGTAACCTGTCGTGGGTAGCTTGGCACATCCTTTTTCTATTCCCCTTCCTTTGTCTATGTCTCTGTCACGTCGAAAAGTTGGAAAAAAAAAGAAAATAGTTAAAAAACCTCCTGTCTCTCTTGTCTAGTTTTCACTCTTTTTTGATTTTGTTATACCCCAATTAAAAACGGGTACTCCGGTATCTTTGGTATTGTTCCAACCACCTGGCCAAAGTGCAAGAAAGATGTCATCATCTACATCATCGCTGTCACGAGGAAACGCATTTGGTCCTCGAGATGTGAGGCACTCTTTGACAAAACGTTTGTAACCCACGTTGAGATAGTTCCGTACATCAAGGAGTGCCTTCGCTCAAGACTGAAGCTAGACTTTGTACGCCTCGGTGAGGCAGCTTTCCTAGCACAGTGGTGCTCTTCAGTACGTTGGGCGAAGGTCGTAGGGGGAAAACTACGCTTGCGGTTTTAACCCCCCGTTCCCTTCTAGTCGTATCAGTCTTTTGTTGTGAAACG